ACTAAAAGAAGAGCGACCTCATCCCAATGATGAAATCCCTAGGCAGTTTAAATAGCTGTAACCTTCGACCCTTGGCTTTGAACCGTAAACCTTCGGGGAACTCTGATCCCAATCCGCGAACGTTCTGCCCTAAACCTCATCCCGGAACCTTAAACTCCTCTCGCGACGCCCCGAGGTCAAATCTGACTCGGACTGCACGGACAGGCTGGGATCAGGTTGAGCTTGCCGCCACAGATGCTCACGTCTTTTGTGGTTTAGAGGTTTAGAGTTGAGAGTTCACTGTTAGAGTCACCCTACACCCTAAAGCCTAAAGCCTAAACCCTAAACCCTAAACCCTAAAGCCTGTGTTTGGGTTTCCCTTTGCTATTGCGCGTAGAGCTTGTTGAGAGCTCAGTAGGTTTGAGGCTTTGGATGTTAGAGTTTCGGGCCTGGCCGGAGTCCTGAGTTTAAGGCTTAAAAAAGGAGCCTTAATGAGTAGAATAGGGTTTTAGGGGTAATTATAGTATGATGATAAAGGGACCATAAGGGAGTACTATTAGGAACTGTTCCGACCCCTATGGGTGGTCGTCAACATTATGGTCCTTGTTTTGGATCCCGAGTATACTACGGCACCGAATATTTAGGGTACCCCAAAAGGGATCATAGTTTTGACAACCACCCATATGTACATATACCCTAAACCCTAAACCCTAAACCCTATAATGTAGTGTTCGTAGCTTCGCGGAACCCTCTCAGCCAAAAGCTCCAGCCCAGCGAAGAAACCCCAAGGCCGAGAAAGGCGACCGGAGCTCCACGTAACACCGAACTCTCCCCTGGAATCTTTCCCCGAAACCCTAAACCCTGAGCCCTAAACCCTAAACCCTAAACCCTAAATTCCCACCCGGCCTGCTTAGGCTGTACCCACCCTTTACTAGGGTGCCTGGACCCAGAACTAAACCCGGCAGCGAGACACACCTTTACTGGATGGACAATGGTGGAGCCATTGGAGAGTGGTCGAATTCAGCCCCTTGGGCTGCGCCTTGCATTAGGACCACTAAAGTGGTGCCTTATACTTACAAACAAAACCCCATGATCCTCCTCTTGATGAGAATACCCTAAAGCCTGGGCCGGAATCCTTCGGTCGACGTTTCCTGGGGGGGTACCTTCCCAAAGGCTCGTTTTTGGATTTCTCGACCCAAGCCCCCCCCCCCCCGGCCCCCCCCCCACCCCCCGCCCAACTCAGTTCCCCCTTACCTGACCCCCCGCCCGCTACCTTCACCACACCTTTCAGTGGTTTGGGTGGTGGCCTGTGAAAGCTCACAGCGGGTGGGGAGAAAGAACCCAGCACCAATGAAATTGTTGGATTATATTGGCAACAGATGCCTTCGCGTGACATGCCGCCCCCCCCACACCCCCTGGGTGTGTAGGGGCGCCATTTACACATGGCACTTGCTGCCGCTGCGCGGCGAGACGCCCTAAACCCTAAATCTTAAACCCTAAACCCTAAACCCTAAACCCTAAACCCTAAACCCTAAACCCTAAACCCTAAACCCTAAACCCTAAACCCCAAACCCCAAACCCTAAACCCTAAACCCACCCCTCAACCCTAAACCCTAAACCCTAAAACCTAGTCCCGCGATGGGCCCTTCGAAGTTTCCCACCCGAATCAACTTCGAGACTGTAGCCGCCGACCCGGGAGGTTGTGTGTGCCACTAAGCGTCTGTGTTATCTCAGTTTCATGGCCTCATCGAATCAGCAATGATGTGTTATTGACTATGCTAACCCTAAACCCTAAACCCTGAACCTTGAACCCTGAACCCTGAACCCTAAACCCTAAACCGTACCCTAAACCCTATGCTGCAAAAGGTTTTAAATCCCAACGAAGAGCCGAGCTTGCAACACTCGAGCGCTAGGTTGCCGAGATCAACCACATGATGGATGAAGACCATTCTTGGGTTAACAGAACCCTGAACGCTAAACCGTAAACTCCAAACCCTTAAACCACATTTTCTATCCTTAACAAAATCTATAGTAAGCATCTTTATCGTTTAGGGCCTAAGATTCGGACCCCCTGATTTTCTGAAACCCTGCTTCCGACAGCAAATGTCCAGGGCAGGCTCGAACGACAAACCGGATCGTCTTCAATGGTTCCACCGTGACAGCGATGGAAAGGGTGCCTTGCGCCTCGTCCAAACTGCGGCTTACACTTGCGACCGGAATTGTTCGTTATATAGGCAAAACGATCAGGGCATCGAGGAAGAACATCAAAAGTATGATAGAGATGGAGATGAAGATTGCCAGATGAGTTCGATGATCCTGCAGCTGCTGCTAATGCTGGCTGGTTGTCGTTCTTTGTGTGATACGTACACTTGGTTATTGGCAGCATGGTATTGTGGCTACACTTGCGATAAGTGTCACTGCTTCGCATACTCGTAGGGCTATCATTGAACAACTGTAGCATACCGAAAAGTCTTGGCTTGGTAGTTGTGGTGAACTAAGAAGGAGTCGTCTGTTCTTGTTCTTCAAGCAATTGTACAATTGGTCTTAGTTGTTGCGGCGGACCTACAATAAATTTGGCGTTCTGCTTCTCTTCACAAGTCAAGTAACGAATGAATTCTACGTTGGCCCTTCATCACGTCCCCTAAACCCTAAACCCTAAACCCTAAACCCTAAACCCTAAACCCTAAACCCTAAACCCTAAACCCTAAACCCTAAACCCTAAACCCTAAACCCTAAACCCTAAACCCTAAACCCTAAACCCTAAACCCTAAACCCTATAACCCTAAACCCTATAACCCTAAACCCTAAAACCCTATAACTATCTCATGTAGCATCCCAGAATGCCAAGGTGGAAAATGACGTCACCTATGGTTCTGCCTAAGGGCTTATTATTCCGCAGTTCTCTATCTATATCAGGGTAAGAGCATCGTCATGAAAACGGCTGGCTACCTCAAACTGTTTAGGTTTTCATTGAGGGAGTGTTTTTTGAGGTGAAAGTGGCAACTCGTTTTTGGGTATGGATGGCACTGCTACCGCTACCAATTTAGTTCTCAGTCTCACCACGCTAGTTTAATTTGCCCTCGCTGCAACTAACCCATGTAGGATCCCAGTGCAAATTCCCAGGTAGGAAAACTAGTTAACTCATTTCTAGTAGAGACCATGCATCCGCAACGTTTTTATGCAGGACTTGAACATCATGTGATCAACTAACTTAAAGAGTGCTTTGCCAGTTTACCAACTAATCTCTTGATTAGCCATCACAAGCCGCCTAGAATAGTTCGAACGTAACGTGGGCCCGTTTGTTTCTCTGAATGTCAAGCAAGCAATAGTAGGTTGCTTCAACTAAACAAACACCTGGTTTGTTACTCCGGCAAGTACCGGCTACCATGCGATTCGTTGCATGAAAACATGTAGGATGCCAAGGGCCACGTCATTCTTTGCTTTCTGCCCTTGTAAGGAACAGGATTATGTCTAACAAGTGTTTCTTCTGTGGAAAACGATCTTCGGATAGAGTCGTCATGGCTTAATGACATTAAGCAAGCGATAAACGGCCTTTATGCTCGTTCAGCTAGGAAAAGAAACCGTAATCAGCTTGATGTCATTCATCTAACTACCCCTTGTATGATTTAATTTAGTTATGGGAAACTTCAGTATTTTGTTTCAGGAAGCTCTTTCTAACCCTGTTTTAAGCAGAGACTGCAGACCTCAGTTAGACGTACTTAAGCTGCGTCACACACCAACTAGCCGCATACTTAGTCCTCGAAAACAGAGCACGGGAAGTGACAGCGATGGGAAATCAGGGTTTAGGGGTGCTGCTGCAGCCTTCAGGCAAGCTTATAACCCAGTACATGGAGGCACGTTGAAGCACATAAAGGATTCATGACCTCTGATACTGCTTCACTCCGAAACATGGAGTTTGCGGGGGCTTTTACATATGGGTGGTTGTCAAAATTATTGCTCCTTTTTGGATCCCTATTATAATACGGCACCTAATATTTAGGGTACCCCAAAAGGGATCATCATCTTGACAACCACCCATATGAAAATAAATATAAAAATAAATAAATAAATAAATAAATATATATATATATATATATACATATATACATTGCAGCCGCATCCTTTCACTTGTTCGTTTAGCTGGTTTCCGTTCTTGAAGATTTGGATCGAAGGCGAAGTCGAGACAGCGGTTTAGGGTTTAGGGTTTAGGGTTTAGGGTTTAGGGTTTAGGGTTTAGGGTTTAGGGTTTAAGTCCAATCTTTCTGGATTGAGGGCTCAAGGAGTGGCCCAAGAATCGGGGATTACGCAGTAGAGTCTAGGTTTTTGTTGTATTGAGAGAGTTTTCTGCAGCTCTTCGGCAGTACGCTGCTGCATGGGCAGCCTGCCTTCTGGGGCTTATTGGGGACGCAGGTGTCTTACAGGCTGCCATGTTGTAACCCTGGGGGCCCTAAACTAATGAACCACGCTTTGCGGTCAGGCCTGCTGTTTTTCAGACTCTGGTAGACCATCTCCCTGGCCTCGCAAGCCCAAGGTGCTGCAAGCTCGCTTGGACTTCGATGCTTTCGTGGGTCGGCATGGGCTTTAGCCGTCAGCCCTCTTCCACTCTGTGCGAGCAAGAGACCCGGCTTGTGCCCAGCGAAGCATGTTGCCGTCTAGGCGATTCGGGTGCCTCGTTCGAAGTTGAGCAGTCTTTCCTTGAATCAGCGCCCACAACTGGGCAAACTACTTCAAACTAGTGTGCCACAGAGCAGACAAGGTGACCCTGGTTTGTATGTGTCAAGGGTGACCATGTTCCTCTTAGTGAAATTTATCTCGGCGACCGAGCGGACATTCCGAAAGTCAACACCTCAGTTTGAGATGCCGACATCCATGCGGCCAAAGACCATGATGGCTCCCTTGTGAGCGACCTCTCCGATGTTCACGCTTTTGTGTTGAAGTGGTTGGGCCAAGGGCAGGGTAGATGTTCCTCGCCTTGGGACGGCCTGGTGCAAGACACTACGAGATCGTGCAGACTCCGGAACATGCCCGAGCAGGAGACCAGTGATTCTCCTGCAGTGCTACCTTCGTTGCTACTCTTTACAGCGCTTGTTCTCGCAAGTCTTTGTCTTGAGGCTACATCCTGTTACGTCGTTCGTGTGACCATACTCCCTGATGACTATCTGCTTTGCCAGAACTTTTCCTGTCATTCCATACGTCCACAAGGGTTCTTTTTTCGTCGCTGCCGTCGGTTTTGACAGTCTCTGACTCTGACCGTGATATTGACGATCATGATTGTCAGGACTGCTGCTGTGAGGAGGCGTCAGTCAAGGAAGAAGAGGGCTGCCTGCCGACGGGCATCACGGGCTTGTCAGCAGAGCCTGTTGTGCTGAGAGGCAACTATAGCTACACAGTTCAAACAGAAAGAGGAAGGGAGTATCGCAGAGGGGTAATCACTTTTTCTTCCCTCAGTCCTGAAACAAAAGAGGATGTACTGCCGAGCACACTGTCGTCTCAAGGGTTCACTTGGAACAAAGGGACTCAATGGCAGCGGGCCTGTGACGAGGAGATGAAAGTACCGAAAGTTGTTTATCATCCCACGTACAAGAACGGCTGGGAGACTGATGACCGTGTTCCCGAACAGGAACACGATACAAAGTGCCTCGTGTTCAGTTTCATTCGGCACTGCCCAGCGGGTGAGGGTTTGTATGTCAAGCAGCCAAATGAGGGAGAGTGCTTCCAGGAACCAGGGTTGGCTGGCGAAAAGAGTAGAGAATTGACCCGCTCTGCCGGCTTGTCCTTCAAGTGCCCGGAAGGCTATCACAGCGGCACGGAACTCGCCACAGACTACTCCCCTAGGTGCAAGTGCCGCACGAAGTGCGCCTAGAAAACTCGGCCTCGCGACGTCCCTGCGTTCGGCGCGGAGAAACCCAGGGCGGTCCGGCCTCCTTTATTCAGGGTTTAGGGTTTAGGGTTTAGGGTTTAGGGTTTTAGACCAACGCCTGAGATTGTTTCCGGTGGAGAGTCAGCGGGAGGCCGCAAGTTGAAGCTAAGTCTTGTGGCTCATGCCGCAGGAGTCGGATGAAAATCTAGGAGCCGGGAGTAGCCCCCTTTTTCCTTTTTTAGGGTTGCGGGTTTCCTAAGAAATCCCCTTAAAGCCAACTTAAGGGTACCCTCTTTATTCCTAGGTTACTCGTCTAGAAATTAGAAATTGCTGGTGTTTGGGTTATGACCCTGGCTTTGGTCGGTCTAGGTGGGCCTTTGAAGGCTCCCGCAGTTCAGAAGCCACGCTGTAGGATTCTACGGATGATTGCGAAAACAATGTAGGTGGCTGAATCATGAGAGTAGGGTTCCTTTGAAGCCCGACAGGTTCATCTTCAGAGCTCTCTGAGGGTTGCCAATAAATGTGCACTTGAAAGCCGCTCGTTTTTTTTTTTCCCCCTTCTTTCGTGGCCCAAGCTCCCCGTCCCAGCACTTCGGGGCTTGGGAGCTTTTGGGGATGTAGGGGTTTAGGGTTTAGGGTTTAGGGTGATGGGCTGGGCTTGGGGTGTAGGGCTTGAATGGCCTTGCTGTGTTGCAGGGATCTCCGTGTTTGGCCTGGTCCTGTATCCGCTCCCAAATCACCCCCAGACCCTAAAAACCACTGAAGCCATGCCCAAGCCCTGACCCGGGTCGTGACAGCGACACGAGTGCCCCGTGGCCGCAGTGGCAGATTACGGGGGTCGTGTCGAGGGGTGTTGGGTGGGGTGTTAGTTAGGGTTTGAGATGGTTCGTTTCATTTGTATGTTGTAAGAAGAAACATTGGCCATCAGAATCATATCAATTATCATACCCCCTGGAGGGCGCCGCTTACATGCAGGGTTGGATTGCAGGCAATTTGGGTTGCTTTGGCTTCCGTTCGAGATCGGCAGTCCTAAGTCCTATAGATGCAAAACCCTAAACCCTAAACCCTAAACCCCAAACCCCAAACCCCAAACCCCAAACCCCAAACCCCAAACCCCAAACCCCAAACCCCAAACCCCAAACCCCAAACCCCAAACCCCAAACCCCAAACCCTAAACCCTAAACCCTAAACCCTAAACCCTAAACCCTAACCCGAAACCCTAAACCCCCAAACCTCCCTAAAACGCTCATCAAAAGGTCATGGCAGATCTCCCTCCGTCCTTCTGCAAGTTGACGGATGGGAGCCCACCAGGCCGGCAAGCCTTCCCCAGACCCCTAATGTTTTTTAAGATAGGGTTTAGGGCTTAGGGTTTAGTGTTTCACCCCTCCCCCCATTCGGTACGGAAGTTGGTATGCTGTTCTACAATTGGGGTCCCATCTCAAAACCTCAAGGGTTGTCAGCTTGAATCCGAGACCTTGTCGTAGGAACTACACCGTCGACCTGCGTGGCCTGCCTTACCCCGCCGCAGGTGATGTGGAGCAAGCTCTTCAGCCTTTGATGGGGACGTGGGGACGAAATCCGGTTCCTGCCGCTCGTTGCAAAGCTCGTTTGTGGTTAACGGGTGTCTTGGAGATTGTCCTAGGCTTAGATTAGAGTCCCTGATCAGAATCCAGAGTTTCAAATGGAGGAGTCCCCCTAAAGAGGCCCAGAACCCACCCAGCCACCCTTTGCAGAACAGAAGCATGCCCCACGCCTGCAGTCAAGTATCTCTTCAGCTTTTTCCTCTTCATCCTGAGGCGACATTCAGTACAGGTTCAGGTTTAGGGTTTAGGGTTTAGGGTTAGGGTTTAGGGTTTAGGGTTTAGGGTTTAGGGTTTAGGGTTTAGGGTTTAGGGTTTCACGGGTTTAGGCGATGACTGTTTGGAGCGTGTGGAGTTTGGGGGTGCTCGTCGTACTCGCATGAGCCTGTCAGGCTCTGAGGCTCCTTCAGGCCTTGGCGAAGGCGCCGGGGAAGGGTTTAGGTTTTAGGGTTTAGGGTTTTGGGTTTAGGGTTTAGGGTTGAGGGAAGATGTGTGGAGGAAAAGCTTTGCTAAGGAGGCTTCGGGGTTTAGGGCTTAGGGTGGATCCTCCACTTCTTTCCAGAAGAGGATTGTGCTGCGCGCAGCTGAAGTTCGATGACCACATGTTAGATACATGAGAATTCTATATCCCTCCTGGGACGTTTTTTAAAGTTTTTGTTTATATAAAACCCAAGAGGATATTAAGATATTTTCTATTCAGGTTCTAAGGGGAGTAGAGAAGTCTGCAGGCCAGTTTCCAGCTGCAGCTCGCAACATTGCGACTCGCCCGAAAAGCTCGCGACTTCAAAACCCCCCCACACCCGAATCCCCAGCCCCAAATCCCCTCTGCCCTCAACCACAAACCCCTCGCAGGCCCAAACCCTAAACCCTAAACCCTAAGCCCTAAACCCTAAACCCTAAACCCGAAACCCTAAACCCTAAACCCGAAACCCTAAACCCTAAACCCTAAACCCTGCAGGAGTCGCGGCCCCGCCTGGCACTGCGGACGCTGGCGGCGATGCGCACCAGCTCCTCGACTCTCAGTTTCGCTCAGAGGCTTGAGGTTTAGGGCTTGAGGTTTAGGGTTTAGGGTTTAGGGTTTAGAGTTTAATTATGGTTTGATTAGGGTTTAGTTAGGGTTTAGGGAGGAGAGTGAGGGGTTCAGGGGTCTAGTTGGGCGGGGTTGAGGGCCAGCGGGCTGAAGTAACTTTCGGAATCAGCAAATTGAACAACCAGAAGAGCAGAGCATATGCGAGTAGCCAAACGAGTCAGGAAGATACCATCTTGTTTCATATGTGCGAGTCTCATGTAATTGTAAACGCTTGCGCGCGCCGCCTCGGCAGCCGGGCCGGCCCCAGGACAGGAACGGAGGAAAGAGGGTTTCGCAAAAAAAGGGGCAGCGGGGTTAAAGGTGGGGGGGGGGGTGGGGGGGGGTGGGGGGGGGGTGGGGGGGGGGCTGGGTGGGGGGGGTGGGGGGGGGGTGGGGGGTGGGGGAGGGGGGGGGGGGGGGGGTTTTGAGGTTGGAGCCACCGACAGGCGGGACCCTCCACAGCATCGGTTTGCAGCTCCTCCAAGCGTTTCGGGGGGGGGGGGGTTGGCGTCAGAAAATTGGGTTAGGGGGAAGGAGGCCCGAGGTCTGCTTGTTCCAGACGCTTCTTGGCAGGAAGCCGAGGCGAATTCGTGGGCTCTGGCCCTAATCTTGCGCGTGCTGGTGACACCCTTAAACCCTAAACCCTAAACCCTAAACCCTAAACCCTAAACCCTAAACCCTAAACCCTAAACCATGCTTCTTTGCCCCCGAGGTTCCTTGCAGGCGCGATCAGCCGGGGCGTTGTTAGGTCGGCTGTGCCAAGTGTTGTGGTATGCTGAGCTACTGCTTGGCTCCGGATAGCATGTTGCATGACCGTGCAAACTCTCCCGAAATCGAGGGGAACCATACTTCGCGTGCCCTGACGAGCCTTGCTTGACTTGTTGCTTGTCGGTTGCGCTGCTGCCAGGTCAACACGTACCACTGCAACACGGCGATCAGCATTGGAAGCAAGCAGAGCCAGTGGCTTGGTTCCACCCTGCTGGTCTCATCGCTGAGGGCATGGCAGTTGCGGCCTGCAGAGAGTTGCCCGGCTAACAAGCGTGTGTTCGCCATAAAAGCCGAGATGGCATGCCACCAGCTTGAATTTGCTGGGTTTAATGGCAACTTGCCGATTCCAATCGATGCCCTCTGCAAGTGCCTCTCCGTGTATGAGAGAGAAGTAGCATCACCGTCAGTTAGTTACGAATAGTATTCCCTTATGTCCCTTTATAGCTATGCTATATAATAATGACCCCCAAAACCCTTTTCTAATTATTAAGGCCCCTATATTATTTGTTTCCGGCGCAAGGCACCTACAATGCTGCCATTAGCGCCTGGCGTGCATCCGGGCAGTGGCGACAGTCTGGAGCCCAGTCGGCTCTAGTTTCCCAAAGCGACTAAATATGAGAAACGTATGTTCCTAATTCATAAGAACATGGGGAGACATATCCTCCCATGCTTAGTAAGTAGATGACAAGCCCCACCTTAAACCCAAAACCCCACCCACACTCCCTTCAGCATCTTTGCAATCCGGCTGCTAGTGCCAGTCACTGGCCCATGGCCAGCCAGGCCCTACCTCCGATCCTGGAGGCAGTTCGATACTTCCGTAGAACGCCTGCGTTTTCACCTTAGGCGAAGTCCGCCTAGCATTATCGGCATATCGTGGCTAGAACCATGGCTCTGCAACAGTCCCGAAAGCCGAGAGCTCGAAAGCCCCCCTAAACCCTAAACCCTAAACCCTAAACCCTAAACCCTAAACCCTAAACCCTGAACCCTCAACCCTGGACCCTAAACCCTAAACCCTAAACCCTAGACCCCCTAAACCCTATGCCTCTCAGGTCGATCGACCTTCTTCGTCAAATGCGCGGGGCAGTGCTGGAAACAGCTTCTTGGCTGCGGCCAAGATATCGGACATGTAATGTATAGGTTCCCCAAAACCCCTAACCCTAAACCCTAAATCCCAAACCCTAAACCCTAAACCCTAATAATTAGAATAGGGTATTTTTGGGGGAGTATTATAGTATAACTACAAAGGGACCATAAGAGAAAGCTTCTAGTAATTCTTCCGACCCCTATATTCTGCCTCCACAGATTGAGGCTACACCTTCAGTGGGGGTCCCAGGGTTTCGTAGCAACTAGGCCCTAAACCCGAACCACCAAACCCCATCCAGATCCTCATCCACTCCTCCCCTAGGCCCTAACCCTAAACCCTAAACCCTAAATCTTGACCCCTCAGCTCTAACCCTGCACTCCGAACAAAGCCCTTCGAACCTTTAAACCACTGAAACCCTAAACCCCTAAACCCAAGCCCTAAACTAAACCCTAAACCCTAAACCATGAAAGCAAACACAGAAGGACTGCTTCTCGCTGAATGC